AAATTTTCAGGTTGGGCTGGGTATTTTGGGCCATTTGGGGTGGTTTGGGGGATTGGGGGGTGGGAGGGGGGTTAATTAGGAAGAGGGAAAAAAAATTGATAATGGGCCCGGCCCGGACCCGGTGGTTACCCGGGCCGGTCCCGGGTCCACCACTCCTGAACCGCCGGCCCGCCCGGGCCTAGGCCTGACCCGGACCCGGCCCGGACCCAAGACATGTGCAGTCTGGAATGGTTATTGCAAATAACCCCAAGAAAATATCAATTTTTGCAATGGGACGTGACTAACTATCTCAACTAACCATCATCCTTTTTATAATGCAATCGGAAAAAACGTAACCTATTATCTCAGTTCTGAAATTTCACATCTTTATTCCTTGTTTAGAAGGTTGTAATGGCAATTTTTTTTTGCCACAAAGCTTTTTGAATGAATTTATAGTATCCCCCCAAAAAACAATAAAGATATAACTTTTTAGGTGTAGCAGATTACAATTTACAACTTTGGAAATCATCAATTATATATACTCTGAATATCTTTGCCATTTATTTGATGGTTCATCTAAATTTACATACTAAACTTGTTTCGGAAATTTCTTTTTTGGAATAAAATGAAATTTAGCTTCTTTTGTTAAAATAAGGCCTTTTTAGGATAAAGATAAGTTTTCAAAGATGACTCCTTTTTTGGGGCAGAGGGAGTATTAAATAACTTTAGACAAATAATGACACTATAAACTACTTGTCAGCTGTCGCCTACCCCATCATAGTTGGGATTAAGGTGGGGATGATTAAAAAACAGAGTTACATTTACCTCCTTGTTTTCTTTTTTTCCTTGTACCGTTGCATAGCATTTCCTCTGTTTTTGGCGATTTGTTCCAAATCCTCCCTTCTCATCAAGGGTGTTGCAATTTCACTTTCAACAAGAGCCATCTGGTCCATCAACTGAATGTCCTCCTTTAAGTGGCATCTTGTTTTATCATAATCTGAAACTAATGAAGCTTGTGCAATTTGTAAAATGTTGCTCTCTGATGTAGCCGTCCCCTGCTGTCACAGAAATACCTTTCTTATAGCTTAGACAGAATGATCTTTTGCTAAATTTGATTGGTAAACCTTAAAACTTTGTTGAAAAAAATAAAATCATCAATTGCTAAATAGTCGTGTCCTGAAAAAAGAGTCACATTTGAAGAAACTTCTGTCTAAAAAAAGTTGTTTCCAGAAGTTGGCTTTAATCTTTGAGTAGAAATCATGTAAAGTCTAGCAGCAAGTGGTTTAAGTCAAATACTCCAAACAATCTCGAAGATTAGTTTTAGAGGTATAAGTGACTATTCATAACTTCTTACCTTGATTGATTTTATAAAAATAGAAAGTTATACCTCACTCAACCAAACACTACTCCGAGTATTTGAGAGTTTTAGTCCTCCGACTAGTGTACTAATGATACTTTTTATCTTATCCATTTCATCTTACCTTTATTTTTATATTTATTATCTTTCTTTTCTTTTTGTCTTTGATATCCTGGATTAATTCATCTTAGCCGACCCCAAAATATTTTGGGAATAAGGCTTGGAGTATTGTGATAGGGACACTTTTGATACTCATCTTCAGATTTTTCCACTTGTCTTTGAACTCTGCCACAATAGACGGATGACCAAAAGTTCTAAAAGACAATACAGGAATAACAGTGTCACTTTCACAACAAGAAAAGTAAAAGATCAAATGTAGGAAAATTTAAAGATGAAACTAAAAAAGTCAACATAATAGTCCGATGACCAAAAGTAGCAATTTCCAAGACTCTTATTTCTATTTTTTCCAAGAAAGGATGGAGTAACAAACAACCATAGAGACAGTTAGGTTGTAATTTCAACTTAAAACATTGAGGATAATGTACTGCAACTAGTGAGTGAAAGAGAAAAGACTGAAGTTTGAACTTATGGGGAAGAGGGGATAGACAGATTGACTTACACCAAATGTTGTTATGTCATCATGAGTGGCAGAGAAGCTCAATCGCGAGAGCTCCAATGCCTTTGAATCTTCTAAGGATGCTTCTTTTAAGAGCTCACTGTAGCTTTTCATCATATACGCCATGTTGTTTGCACCATAGCCTGCTTCTGCGGGGCTAGGTTCTTCCTGTTCTCTCAACTGACCCAGGTTGAAATCCCATATCTGCACAAGTGCAGATTAAGTTTTTCAGAAAATGCAACCAACCAAGTTATGAAAAAATATCACTGAAGCATACAAAAAAGTGAAGTAGATCTCAGCAGGAAGCTATCAAAGCTAACAGCTTCATAAATTTAATTCAAAAATTGATCACAGCATTTTGTCTTGATGAACAGAAACCATCAGAGAAATAAAGAAAACAAGAGCCCCTGAAACAAAACATGGATCGTTTGGATAAGACTGTGCTAAGACTGTGATACAATCATATGAGCATGCATGGCAATTAATTCAAAACAAAACCTTCTTTTACTTTAATGCCATTACCAAGGCTGGGAGCATTTTGTTTTGTGAAAAAAAGTCAAACGAATACCTACTCACCAAATTTGGAGGAACATAAAATGCGCATTAAGAGCCTGTTTGGTAACACTGAAATCGGCTGAATCGGCTGATTCTACTGAAATTTATGAAGTTTTGGCTGAAGTGACTGATTCTACTAATGTATGAAAAAATTATATTTAAAATATATTTTATTAATAAAATAAAGAAAAAAAAATATGTAAAAATAGCTAAAATGATCATCTACAGTAACTTTACTTTAGCCAATACAGCCAGAAAAGTAACTTCAACCTTATTTTTTCTTATTATTACACAATTCAGCACACAAAATCAAAAGTTACGTGTTTGGTTAAAAAATTAGATGATAAGCTTGATAAGGCGAAAAACATAGTCATTAAACGGGCTCTAACTTTAAGGCCTCCTCATATAGCAGTAGTAACAACTAACAACATGGCTAAATTAACTATTATTACACCCTCTTGAAGGCGATCAGGGTTCGGGAATCAGGTAAGGCCTATAGGAACCTTAGATCATGTTTTGAATCTACTGATTTTTTTTCCAGATAAATGTCTGGTAAGATGCATTTTAGCTAAATTAACAACTCAAAAGTTATTAAACAGGCTCTTATAGTCGAGAACCTACCGGTATATTCCATGTAAATATCAATTAACAATAATAATATGAATTTATGTGAAATAAACTAGAAATATTACCTGAGGAGTACGATCCCTGGAAGGGGTGCCCCAAAACATGCTACTTCCAACATCACTCTCTTTCTGATTCATTGGAGCTTGCATCATAAGCAAAGAAGTAAAGGGCACATTTTGATTGGATTCAAACTGCTGATTCAGAACCAGCATACCTTCATCTCCTCCCCCCTCAGCCACATTCTCATCCCCATCCCAACCACTATCTCCGTTTGGCGTCTTTGGCACTATATCCTCTCCCCCTCCCCCTCCACTGCCACCACTGTCAATCCTGTCCCTCTTAAACAACTCCACGAGCTGTTGAAGTATCACCATTTTATTCTTCCCGCACCTCGGACTCTGCTTCTTGCTATGCTGACAGCTTCTGCCGGAGTTGGAATACACTACCGGATTATTCATGTTAGGGACGGCCAAATCGTGCAATAGAAACGGTGCAGAAGAGTCTTTGGACATCCAGGGGTCTAATGATAACCCGCTCCAATCCGCACCCGGAATCTGGCGAGGCTTTTTCTCATCGATTTCCAAACCCCAAATACCCGCGAGATCCATGGCCAGCGGGCAACCGGAGAAACCTTCGACGGAGTCCCGATCGTGCGCGGCGGAGACGTCGCAGCTGCCGTGGGCGTCCCAATCGCACTCCTGGCACAGGACAAGGCTCTCGGTGGAGCATCGGACCGAGACGGGCTCGGAGCCGCAGCCGTCGCAGATCTGAGAGCGGACGTGCTTACGCGACAGCGCGTTGGCGGAGTGCACGTGCTGGTCGCATAAAAGGCAGAGCTTGGCGGCGTCAGCCCGGCAGTGGAGTACGGCCGCCCGCTCTGTGCAGTAATCGCAGGGGACGCTCCCTCCCCTGCCGTGATTCGAGTTGGGGCCCACCAAATCAGCTCCAAGAACGTTGGAGCTGTGATAATTGTTCTCCATTGGGCCGGAAAACGACGGCGGACTGAAAAGCTAGAAGACTTTTTATATATCGATTTATTTATTTGTTTATTGCGAGAAAAAAAAAATCCAGAAGAGTATCTTAGCTCATGCTAGCTCATATTCAATTCCCAGCTACCAATCGAGGTAGCTCTGGGAAAGGCGCAAATCATTCTTATCAGAGTGGTAAAATGGATTGCGGCTGAGAAAGATAGATGTGAGTTTAGTTTAGTCATTTACAGTAGGTTAAAAGAGGGCATAAAGTTTGTGAGGTAAATATACTTATTTGGGAATGTTTCTAAGTTGTACAAGAAAAAAACTAAATTGCCCTTTCAAGTGTACCAGAAAAATAGAAACTGAATGGAAGAATAATTCAATGCATGCAGCATAAAAACTCTCTAGTCAAAATTTGTTAGGGTTAACAATTTGCAAGACAAATTGATTACTATGACCATTTATTTGTAACAGTACAAAAAGACCATTTAATTGTATGATTGGATGCTCCATAAAGCCACACATGCACACATTCTGCACCAAATTTGTACATTTTTTCATACATATTTGTAGATGTGCACAAAGATAATGGTGTCGATATGTTTATGTGCAGCATTATCCGTGTGCACAGATAATTATTAGACATGTGTACAAATTTTGTGTACAAAAAGAATCATTGACTCGTGACATCCGTTCTTTTTAGTTGTAATATTCTCTTTTTTTACGTTTTCAAATTCGAAATTTTGACCATCATTATATTTAATTTCTATTTATAAACAAATTTTAAAACTCAAATTATGAAACTTTGTAATGAGATAATTTAATAATATTTTTTGAAAAAAATGTGGTCAAAGTAGACCAATGTAAATACATTCATTCACTTACAAAAGTTGTCCATTCTGCTAATTTGGTAGCTTTATGTGCCAAAAGAAAAGAAACTTGACGGAGAAAGGATCATGAAAGTCCAAAACCAACAAGATCCGCCCGATAAACCGATCTTCCACGATCGAATTTTGGATTTGGGGGTTCTCGACGCGGGCGCTTTACGAGTCCATATTCCTCCTCTAAGGTAAAAAGCTCACTCTTCTTCAACAATTGACTGCAATCCTAAACTCGTATGTTTGTGTCCATGGAGAATTTCTTCACTTTGTTTTAGCATTAATGATAATAGGCATTCTTGCATCTGGCAGTGTTGCTTTAAGGCCTGTGCCCTAGCTGCAGGGCAAGAAGCACAAGCGAGAAGATTAGCGGAGAAAGGAAGAGGAGAGGAGGAGGTGAAGAAATGGGAAGCTTCATATACCACGTATTCTCCTCATCTGGACTCTTCTCTCTCGGTCTCTTCCATCTGATCGCCGCCACCCGCAGCCACCTGAAGTCGCCCCGCGAACACTCTGCGAAGCCCTTCTACCACCTTTCCAACTTCCCTTCATCGTTCCCCCGCCTCCGCCACCTCCCTCTCTACCTGATCATCCTTTCCCTCTTCGTCGCCTTTGCCCACCAAACAGTGATCTCCTTTGATTCCGACCCGCTCCTCAAGGGCCGCACCCCTGTCCACAGATTCTCTTCCCTCCAGTCCGCTGCCATCATTCTATGCTTTCTCCTCCTCTCCGTCTTCCCTCTCCTTGTATCAGAACCCTCCTTGCCCCGAGATGAAATCTTCTTTGCCCTCGCCTCTGCCCTTTTCTATCTCTGTTTCTATGCCTCATCGTCCTCTGCATTTTTTCAGACTTCTGATCTGCAAGCCGAGTGTGACACTGTGTCCGCCCGCATATCTTCCGCCTCCTCTCTCCTCTGTGTGGTTCTTGCCTGCAATTCCAGACTCTTTGTGGCCGAGCTTCTCTTTGCTGCCTCAATTTGCCTTCAGGGACTTTGGGCCTTCCAAACCGGTCTCTCCCTGTACGTTGAGGCCTTTATTCCGGAGGGATGCCACAAGCTATTGGATGTGGTCAGTGGTGTAGAGGGGTCCACCAAGTGTGAATTGGAGGATTCCAAGTTGAGGGCCGTTGCTCTCCTGGATTTCATCTTTGTAGTCCATGTCTTCTTTGTGCTGCTCATTGTGATGGTCACTTATGCAGTTGCTGCCAGGACCATAAGGCGATCTGGTTCCTATGAGGCTTTATCCACATCTGCTAGCCCCGTTGTCTCCAACCATATCCAGATGAAGGCCTTCAGCGGGACACAGGCTTAATTAGGATGACTGCATTCACTAGTGTTACTGTATTTTTTATTTTTACTTTTAACAGTCACCTGTTTCTACTGAACTCCTTTTTACTGCTTTTTATGATGGATGATAGAATAGTTTTTGAATTTTCATCACCTCAACCCCTTGGCCCTCTGTTTTTATTCATCATTTTCCGTCTGCTGTCATAGCATTATTACAATGAAATATATGATATACTGGGATAAAATGTCATATCAAGATCATAGCTTAACTGTCGAACCTTGTTGCCAGTAGATGTTTGAGATACTAAGTATGTTTTTCCAGCTGCCACACTGTCATTTAAGGAATTTAACCTGATATTGTTTTTGAAATTGCCTGTTGATGGGTATTCTGCACTATTATAACTATCAACTTCTTGTCTAAGAAAGGATTGTGCATCGTTTTGTTCTTTGATATGCTTGCTCTAGAAGACCAACTCAATGTTGCATCTAAAATTTCTATTTGGGTATCATCAGACTCTTTTTTTTATTTGCTTCAAAGGTTGATTTCAGATAACAGCTCATGCTTTTTCCCCGTTTTCCTCTCGAAGACCCATTTAAACCAAGTCCTGATGTCATTTTGAGTCTTTGACGTACTTAGCTGTTGTCACTGGTCACATGGAAATTTGTATCACTTTGGGTTAAAAACGTTTTGAACTAATGCAAAAATTAAATCTGCAATTTTGTACCCTGCCATATTATTTTATACAGTGAATCGGACTATTGCATCTCATGTAATATTGTCATATACCTTTATGTTTTGAGATTTAGGTAATGGCATCCTCATAGGCTTGGTAAACCAAGAGGGTTGTGTCACATATTTGTAATTTATTCCTGTTAAAAGTATGCTAGTGTAGGTATCAAGATATAATTAGATTTCAACAATAATAACTAGTTCAGCCTTTTTTTGTTTGCCTGGGCTAATGGGAACTGAAGGATTATATAGACTGGCATATATTATACGCAGTATATACTTTATGAAACTATCATTGATTAGATTATATGAGGGGTACATGAATGGAAATATTAAATAAGAGGAAGAACAAGTAGATTTACATGTGATAGACTCGTAGTATATATGCATATGTTTGAGTTGTATAGAGTATATATAAAAAAAGTAGTTGCTGAAAAAAGAGAGTAAAGAAAATGAACGATAAAAAAGAGAGTTATATACTATAGACTGGTAGTATACATATTTGAAGTATATGTTTGAGTTGTATAGAGTTAATTAGAAGAAGAAGTAAATGCTGAAAAAAGAAAATGGAATGATGAAGAAGAAGAAACCTTACTGTGGTTGATCATTGAGTGTTGCTTTCAAAGCTGAGAAGTAGCGTGAGTAGAGCAGAGCATAGGAGAGTAGTAGTGACACTTATCCAAGGAGAGCTGAGTAAATCAATTTACAGTCTTTCAGGAGTTGTAGTTTCACGGTTTAACTTTGTGCTGGTCTTGGATCTTGAAGTTGATTTACAGAAACTTGAACAAAGGTTTGGATGTAAGTTGTTATTTTACTTGTATAAGGTGTGGTTTTATGTTTATTGATTGGTATACATACTGTGTGTTCCCTCTGCTTGTTGGCTAGATAAAATTAAAAAACTATTTAGTTCAACTGATCAATACTTTGTGGTTCAAGACTTGGTTTCATCGGATGAGTTGGTGTTGGGAATATTTTATGGTGTTCAATCTAGTTAGTTATCTTTGTATTTGTGTAGTTATAAATTAAACGTGTAATACGGGCCACAAATGTGTATCAGCCCGGGGGCTTCCTTGTAACCCGTAAGTTAGCCAACTTCTCCTATAAAAGGAGGTTAACTTACGGGAACCCAAATGATAAAAAAGAGGCTTAGACGCAGAGGCGTAAAGATAGAGAGAAATTAGGGTTGCCGCTGCTCTCCTTCTCCAGGGAGAGCAGCGGCCGGTTTTCATACGGTATACCAGATTCGCGTTTCAATCTTGTCGATTTCTTCCTATCTGCTTCTTATTCTTCTTGTTATGATTGTTGTTTGTTAAATTATGGGATTATCAATTGGTATCAGAGCCGAGGCGTGAAACAGGGTGAATGTATCTGCGATTTTCTTGGATCTAACGAAGAATGCTCTGCTTTTCTTCTCTTTTTCTTCATATAGAGTTTTGCTCCTGTAATCTTGTTTGTGAACGAAAATCTGTAAAAATTATACTGTTGGAATCGCCCTTCAAAGCCGATCCAGCAGCATAAACTATTTTTCGATTTCTGCAAATTTTCATTTTTTGAAGAACTCTCAATGAATTGCGAGTTTATGCTTTTAACACTGCTGCAGAAACGATTTTGACTTGAAACAGATACAGGAGGGATCGCGACCTTCAGGGCTATTCAGAACAGTTTTCAGATTCTCAAAATTCGACAGTTTTTAAGAACTCGAGTTTGTAAACTCGCGGTCAAGAACTCGAGTTTGTAAACTCGCGGTCATGAACTCGAGTTTGTAAACTCGCGGTCATGAACTCGAGTTTGTAAACTCGCGGTCATGAACTCGAGTTTGTAAACTCGCGGTCATGAACTCGAGTTTGTAAACTCGCGGTCATGAACTCGAGTTTGTAAACTCGCGGTCATGAACTCGAGTTTCTAAACTCGCGGTCATGCACTCGAGTTTGTAAACTCGCGGTCATGAACTCGAGTTTGTAAACTCGCGATCATGAACTCGAGTTTTAAACCTCGAGTTCTGACCTCGAGTTTTTAAACCTCGAGTTCTGACCTCGAGTTTTAAACCTCGAGTTCTGACTTCGAGTTTTAAACCTCGAGTTCTGACCTCGAGTTTTAAACCTCGAGTTTTTAAAATTTGAGAGTTTTGGAATTGCGGGTTTTGGATTTTATTTCGAGTTTTAGGAACTCGATGTTTTGGATTTCGACATTCTAAAAAAATTTCAGAATTTACGGAATTTCTCGATGTTTTGAATCTTTCAAAGTTTGCAGTTTCTTGGAACTCATAATTTGAATCTTGACATCCTTTGCAGTTCATCGAAGCTTTACATTTTAGATATCTGAATGATTCCCTGTTTATCAAAGTTTTAGAAGTTTTCGATGTTGTGATGTTTTTCAAACAGCAAGTTTTCGATATTATGAGGTTTTTCGAAACTCAAAAGTTTTCGGGGTTCCAAACATTTTGAAATTCTGAATATTTCGTTATTCTGAGGTCTGTTTTGCAGGTGGATTTCGTCATTACTCTTCAAGGCAAACTCGAAATTAAAATCTCCAGATTTGGATTTCGAGTTTTTGCCTTAGAATTTTGTTTAAATTCACCTGCTCTCGAAATTCAACATCGAGAACCTCAACCTCGAAGATTTTCCTCGAAAACTCAAAATTAGAGATTTTCTACGACGCCGCACTGTTTTGGCCATAACTTTTGACTCGGTGATCCGATTTGAGCAAACGTTTTTTTGTTGGAAAGCTAACGAAAAGATCTACATTAATTCTCGGGCTACGCCCCAGAACCCTTTCTCACGCGCCCTCACTCGCAGTCCTTGAGGGTCAAAACGTTAGTTTTCCGACAAACATTGTAAATCACCGATGTCCAGGTCAACACTTAGGCAAATCTGTTCAAATTCTTTCAAAGTCAACCCTGAGGTCAAACTTTTTCTAAACCTAACTGTAAAGGTCCGAAAATCGTAGATAATTCAATCAACCTCGCGTCAACGGACATCTTACAACAATCAACAATCAACTGCTGAAGCCTCCCCTGACTCATCAACATTATGTAATCTTCAATATGCTGAAATTCTACATGGTGAGCTCAGGGAACCGTCATGTGTGGTACTTGTTCAGATTGCTCCACACACATGGCGGGTATGACAAGCTGTGAGCAATCAAACCTTGCACATTCTGAGGGGGAGTTTCAGTTTTCTCCTCCTGGCGCCTTACACCGACAAAGTAAGGAATCTCTCAACGGATGCAACATTTTAGGGGGAGTATTCAATGTTATCCTCCCCGGTGCCTAACAATGACAAAGCATACCGAGTGCTGCAGTTGAGGGGGAGTACAGAGAGAAAATGAAGAAAGTAATGAGAGAACATGTCCCTATGACTTAGTAAACCCAACTAAGCCTACCCAAGGGACAAAGCCGAGCGCAAGTGAGTGAGTGAGCAAGTGAGTGAGTGAAAATTATGAGCATTAGGAAGCAGAAGGCTCAAGTGAGAAGTAAAACAATAATCAATGATGAGTCTGCTACCTCAACTGCCTGCTATGTATTGAACATTTACTCCTAGCCACTCAAATACTCTGGACAATTCCCAAATAGGTTCAGGACTGATTTAATCAGATCCCGGGTAGAAGTCACTGCATCTTGTCCAACAGTGCATGTTGAACCCTATCCAAGACCACTCACTTGTCTCCCAACAGATAGGTGTTTAATCATATTTCACGGGGAACCGCATCTCTCATTACTATCTCCTTCCGAGGCAAGTAATACTGACTACAGTGGCCTCAGCTCCATGCCACTGAACTTTCATTGATCACGTCGTGTCTAGTTACTCACTCCCAAATGTTTTGAAATTTTCTAGGACACAGACGCACTTTTAGAGTCAGTTGCAGGTCTACATGACCCGCGAGAACTTCCATAGGGCTCGTCTATTACAGATGTAGACCAATAATTGGAAGGAAGTCCTGCTGTTGCAACACCAGAATCACCAACATTTTCAGGCCATTGCTTTAGAGTTTATCTCTATAGTGATGATAACGGGCGTCTTCACGACCCCGGGGGGCTACGTTATCTTCTTTACATTCTGCTTGTTTTTCCTGTTTTTATTTCTGCAGAATAAAAGAATAAAGGCATGACGCCCCGAGTTATCGGATCGTCATGAGGGGGAGAGTGGTCCACATGCTGTTAACTGTAAAAAAAAATCATTCTGGGACACTTCTCTCCTCCAACACTCTCTCTACTATCTCCGCAACTCAAATGGTCAGCTACGCTCACAAGTCAACCATCATTATGTTCCGCTGTGCCACCGACAAGTTCTCCTCTAAAGCATTCATTCCAAATAGTCAAAAAGACTACATTGTGGAGGAGACAGAGGTCAAATACTCGTGTCCTGAAGATGAATTCCATGGGCGTCTCCTATTCTCCAAAGAATATTCATTCTAGAGGCGTCACCGGACTTCATCCAAGCTGATCAAGAGCAACTTCTGGAAGGTAAGGACTACATGCAAGATACTGAAGGTCCCTCAACCCCCGGCATCAAAGATCAAATTGTCAAGAAGACATCAAAGGGGAGATTGCAAGGATTTCT